AGTGAGCACAGGAGGTGGGGGGCAACACCACAGATGTGCTTTGACAACGAGTGATGCTGAACAGGACACCCAGCATGCAGTTCTATCATCACCACATCGAGTTGATTTAAGTAAATTCACAAATTCGTGGTATAGACTATAGGTTTAAATTTCATTCATTAAGATTTGAGCTCGGACAACTTCTCACGATAATCGAAAAAAACGGAAACCTGAGGCAGACCAGCCTGGGCAATGAGGTTGACCAAGGTGGTCCAAGGCGAGCTTACTTTAGTCGTCAAAGGAAAAGGTTAAATCTCCATCATCATCATCTATCCTGCCCGAGCCATCGTCAAACATCTGCAGCAAGTTCTGATACAAAAACAGTAAAAATACCAACTCCTCCTCAGCTCACCTCGTCATCATAATACTCCCCTTCTTGGTCCTCTCTTCCGTTACCTCCATCCTGCAAACGCAACGATACCATTTACGACCAACCATAATAAGGTCACCTCGTGGAGCATTTCAGTTCCCTCGTCCTCCTCCTCATCATCATCATAACCACCAGCAGCAGTATTGAAGTTCCCCTGATATCCCTACACAACTGCGCTGTTCTACTCAACGACTAGAGCAAAAAACGGTTAGATAGGAAAAAGCAGATATATACAGATAAGTTAGACGCGATACATTAGCTAAGGGACAAGACTATGTAGCTATTTACTGATGATTGTATATTGGGACAGTGCACAATGGTATCCAGAGGTCCCCATCGTAAGATACAAATTAGGTCCACTTACATTCAGGCCATCCTCAACAATATCAATCCTTCGCTGTTCAATATCCTCCTAAGAACTACTCATTGCCTCCTCATTGCATTCCAACACTCACCACAGGTAATCTACGTTCCCTCTCCTCCTGTCCACCCTCATCCCTCACCAGAGGCCCCTAACACGATCACTCCGCACAGCGAAGATTCCAGAAGATACGCACGCACCTTGAAGATTTTCTCAAAGATACTCCTTGGTGTATCATGGAATTGCACAGTGGCCGTGAACTCCTTGAACTTCCTCTCGTCCCTCCAAATTCTCACCGGCCCAGTTGCGCTATGGTCAGTGACTTTCCACCTCAAAGGCTCCGCCACTACGACTACTCGTGGCCTCATTTTCCCTTCATGCAATACCACATCAGTATCAATTTCGCCGTCAGAAGTGATTCGAGACGGCGTGGCGATGTCAGTTTTCACGAAATACTTTTTTATTTTTTTCTCATCTCCGAGGACCTTCAACGCGTTCTTCTTGGTGACTTTAAAGTTGATCTAAATATCGTAATCACAACAGCGGAGCGAAGCAGCCAGGAGCTTATATACGAATTCAGAAGCCAAGCAGAATTCCCTCAACATTTTCATATTGTCATCACCAACACATGTAGTTGACCATGTGCATATTCTACCACACCAACTCCAACATGTTCCCTCTCACTGAGTAAGTCGTTTTCAGGTCGGCCATTGGTTCTCCAAAAGTGTGGGGGATGACCGTCGGGACCTTGATACCATTCTATCACAGTTGAGACTCTGAGCTTCTCACCTCCATAGTCGTTGTAAGAGGAAGACTACTAGTAGCAGCTAGAGGCAAGGCCTCTACCACAACAGGGACCTAATACCGAGGTCCCAGGTTCTATTCCTGGCAACGGCATTTCTCACCCCTAGTGCACGTCGTAGGTCGTTCAAACTGTCAACATCAGCGTCAACTTCCAACTTCACTTCCTGCTGTAAAGTAGACTTCTTGCCGTACACAACCTTCACCATTCCAGTGAAGGTGCTAACACGAGCAGTTCATCACGCGAGTCCTCGTGTGGTCTTCTCGGGTCGGATTTTATTTTTATTTCTCGGTAAGTATCCTTAGATATATGATATAATGGAGTTTCACCCTAGTGATATGAAAGAAAACACTAGTGAAAAAACATATTCCGCAGTTCACTTCGTGGGAAACACATGTGAAAAGTGAATAACACATAAAAAACGTGATGTGTTTACATCAGACCTAGCTCACCGTTTAGATGCAGAGCTCTCGCTGAGTTCCTTCCAAGTATTAGGTACGATCTCCACGGCATCAGGACGATGTGGGAAGAGAGCGGTAGCGATGGTGCCTTTGTTGAAGTCGAATTTTGCCTCTTTTTGGGTATTCCTCTTAGGAGTTGCTTTCCTCGCAGCAAAGCCTGGATTGATTTTCGTCTTGGCGCCGATGGACAGATGAGCCTGCATACACTTGGGTGAGGTGGGCCGCTATCGGACCTACTTTGAATCTTTTGGGTTCATGCTGTGGATTCTCGAAGATTCCTTCCCGCTTGTGCTGACAAGTAATAATAACAGAAGTAAGCATTTCAGGTAGAACCCCACCAGACTCGATTCCGGGTCGAACAAGTCTCCAACTCCTCCAACTATATCATCCTAAATCGCGACCCATCATCATCATCATCATCTCACACGAGAGGCCACCTCACTTCGAAGTGGACGAAGGAGCTGATAGTTTCGATAGCATCACGACAGGTAGGGAAGTCGCTTGAGGCTTGGTCGTAGGCCATCGTGAATTTCACGTCTCGCTTCTTGAGGAAACC